ATGTGTGTGTGTGTGTGTGTATGTATATGTATATATATACATATCTATCTATCTATCTGTCTATCTATCTATCTATCTATCTATATATACATATATGAGAGAATGATTGTCGGTCTTCAATCAACAAGTTGAAAGTTAGCAGAAAGTCCGGACGGGCATCTGCAGCCTTGCCCTCAAGAGACAACTTACACTGGTAATGGTGATAAGGAACATGTTTTTTTTTATGTCGATGAAAATGTCCATTATGTGTTCTCATTTTCATGGTTAAATATGTTTTATACCATGCTGAACATATAAATGAAACTGTGCCAAAATATACATACATATGCGAATATACACATATAATATATCATGTATGCATATATATATATATATATATATATATATATATATATATATATATATATATATATATATATATATATATATATGTATACAAATGTTAATGTAAGTGTGTATGTAAATGTGAATGCGTGTCGATCTTCTACACATTCCTCGGCACACACATGTTTATGTAAATGGAAATCCTCTGTTAAGTTAAAAAATATATGAGAACTAGTGCCTTCGGTGGAAAAAAAAAGAAAAAAGAAGTAGAAAATGCTCGTCCATGTTAAGACAAATACCTCAGCATGTTTTCTTGGCCTTTTTGAAGTACAAGGAATTTGTTTTTTTTTTAAGTCCAATTATTGCCACTTGTCACCATCATTACTTTCATGCTGTTATTTTTTCTTTTAAAGCGAATTTTGATTTTTAATTGTGTCGAAGCTATCATTATATAGCGATGCATGGAAATGTTAAGCAATTAGGTAGTTAGCCATATGAAAATGCTGTAGAAGTAGAGTAGCTAATCACTAATCACAAGAAAACGGCAACGATCTTGTAAGGAAAGCCAAAGACCTTATACCTTCGCTACCGGGGAAAATTTCAAACCTAGGTCAACTTAACCTTTTAGTACATGGCATCGGGACCTGGTAATCTAAAGCACCCACAAATGTCAATAAATTCCTGTTTCCCAAGTTAAAACTATGTTGAAATTTCAAGCTCCCTGGCTATCTTAACTTCTCTTGAACGATAAGATATTAGTTTTGAGGTTTGTGGGGTAAAACGACTCTCGTGATTAGTATGCAAATGCTATAAACACAAGAAAATGTGTATACGTAAAGGAAAGAGAGATAAGCGTGGTAATAAACCTGCAAGTAATCCAGGATCAACAAGAAGCATGGCAGAGTCGAGAGCACTGGCGATATGCAAACATCACTGTCCACGAATGCATTTCACTGCATCATAGATCACCCAAAAGCTGGAGGAGGCGAAGCCGATAAAAGCCGACAGAGCCACACAGAGAGAGAAGAGCGAGGTACTGTACCCACCAGAATACGCATGTTGGCTTGGGGAGGCAAGAGAGAATGTGTGGAAGGAGGCCTCTTCTCTCCGTTATATACCTCGTCCCTCCATGACCCCTGGCGCGCCTTGCCCTTTCCCCTCTCCCCTCTCCCCTCTCCTCCTCCTCCTTCTGCTCCTCCTCCTCCTCCTCCTTCTCCTACTCCTGCTCCTCTTGGTTCTTCTCCTCTTCCTTCTCTCTTTGTTTCTGCTTCTCCTCCTTCTAGTTATTCTCCCCATGAATACCCTCCCTGTTGCTTTTCCTCATGCTACGCCTCCTGCCTCTAATTCTCGCCTTCCTATATTTTACCATCCTCCTGCTTCTCCTCCTCCTTCTTTTCCTCCTTCTTCTCCTCCTTCAGCCCATCCTCGGACACCATTCTTTGATCACCAACTTCCTACACCTCTGCATAAAGAGAAAGAAAATAACAAATAACGAGCAAACATTCATAAACAAACACACGAGAAAAAAAAATAACGCCTCACCTCCATAATAGCAGGCAAATCCACCTAGACGAAAAAAAAAAAAAAAAAGATAATAAAATGACCTTCGAATTCTAGATTGAGAAGAAATATGCCAAAGCCGATGAGAAAAACGAAGCAATCTCCTCCTAGGAAACACGTTAGAAAGGTCGAGAAGTTAAAAGGAGCAGTGAGTGCGTTTGGACCGAGAGGACAGGTGGACTGGGAGGGGGAGGGATGGAGGGAGAGAGTTAGGAAGAAAAATGCAAGAGGATAGGTGGAAGAGTAAAATAGATGTATGGTTGGAAGAGGAAGAAGAAGAGGACAGGTGGACTGGGAGGGGGAGGGATGGAGGGAGAGAGTTAGGAAAAAAAATGCAAGAGGATAGGTGGAAGAATAAAATAGATGTATGGTTGGAAGAGGAAGAAGAAGAGGACAGGTGGACTGGGAGGGGGAGGGATGGAGGGAGAGAGTTAGGAAGAAAAATGCAAGTGGATAGGTGGAAGAGTAAAATAGATGTATGGTTGGAAGAAGAAGAAGAGGAGGACAGGTGGACTGGGAGGGGGAGGGAGGGAGAGAGATAGGGAGAAAAATGCAAGTGGATATGTAGAAGAGTAAAATAAATGTATGGTTGGAAGAAGAAGAAGAAAAAATAAAT